ATATTGATATTCCTGAGATGTGACAGTCAAAACATATATACATCTCTTGATAGGACAAATTTACACTGACGAATTCTTACAAAGTAACAAAAAAAAAGCTTAGACACAACTACAATATCTTCCAAAGTTGCCCTTGACGAGTACTCAAAATGAAGCCGCAGTTATCCCGAAAAATGTTTACCAATAGTTTGATGAGTTTGGCTACTCAGTAAGTGATCATCATAATCCTAAAAATAATCATGATTGAAAGATATCAATATTTTTTCAAAATGAGATCTATTAACAGAAATGCATCAACAGTTTCACTTTCAATAAATGCATAACTAAGTATAATCCGAGTAATTGAAATGCTTATAACACTTTTAACGGCGGTACATAGTTCAAAGGATTTCACAAAATACCCTACTGGCGTCCCAAGTAGGTCACTATATACCCCATCAGCGTCCTGATGGGTCCACTTAATCCCTATCGACGTCCTAGATAGGTCCACTTAATCCCTGCAGGTCCATTTATACCTCACCGGCGTACCGGATGAGTCCACTTAATCCCTACCGGCGTCCCAGATAGGTCCACTTATACCTCACCGGCGAACCGGATGAGTCCACTTGCATACTTAAATTATTTCTACATCTCTTTAAACATTCGAAAACAGCAATATCATGTACTCAACATATTACTGAAATCATTAATATGAATTTCACTTAAACCATTAATAACAGTCACTCTCTATAACATTTCAAAAACAACCAATCAAATATTTTGGGCTCAAATTTAGAAAGGTAGCAGTTTGTAAAGGCATTCTAGCATAATTGCCAATTTAATATGTCTAGAAAAATTCTTATAAAAATTCAAGAATACGGAATTATCACAATTTATGGGATATCAATCCACAAATAAGCATTTCACAACAATACTATAATCAATTACAAAAATATCAATTTTTTTAAAATAATAAGGCAGTCATTTGCACGTGAATTTTACAATGTCTAAATATTCAGAACAATAGAAAGAAATATCACAATTTTTACTAAAAGCAGAAATATCACATTTATTTCTAACAATAAACAAGAAAAATAAATAAATTTATTTTTCTAATTTACAGCATTCAAAATTTCTAACATAGATAAAATATCACAATTTTTATTAGAAAGATTATTTTTCAAGATAATGAGGTCACGTGCGCATAAAATTTATCGCGCCTAAAATTCATGATAATAAGCAGAAATAATTATTTCATTTCATTTTTAAAAAGAATGGATTATTTTTCGAGACAATGGGGTCAATTACACACAAAACTTATAAAATAAAGATCTTGGACGGAAATATCACTATTTATTAAAAACAGACTATTTTTCAGGAAGACGATGTCACTTACACACAAAACTTATAAAATAAAGATTCTGGACGGAAATATCACTATTTATTAAAAACAGGCTATTTTTCAAGAAGACGATGTCACTTACACACAAAACTTATAAAATAAAGATTCTGGACAGAAATATCACTATTTATTAAAAACAGACTATTTTTCAAGAAGACGATGTCACTTACACACAAAACTTATAAAATAAAGATTCTGGACGAAAATATCACTATTTATTAAAATCAGACTATTTTTTAGGAAGACGATGTCACTTACTCACAAATATTTGAGAGGGAGCTTCCGATAAAAATTCGGTTCGAGATAGGAGTTCACTGTGTTTCGACTAGAGAGAGAGAGATCTCAAAATTTTTTAGGGTGGGAGTGCTCACCTCCCCTATTTAAATTCTTATAACGTATTATTATATTATTTTATTACGCTCTACCTCATACCTGAGGTGTCGCGTTAAGAGTCTGCTTTTAACATACGAAAACCACGTCCACTAAAGGACATGGCAAGCAGCAAGCAGCAGCAGGCAAAAGCAACAGGCAAAGCAACAGGCAAAAGCAGGCAAAAGCAAAAGTTTAAACCAAAGTAAAAACTTTTGAAAATAGTGATGGTCCCCAAGGACCATCATACTCAAACAGACCATCACCTATTTAAAAGCATCTTTTCTCCTTTTTTTTTTTTTCTTTTTTTTTTTGAAATTTTAGGATTGTTACAAATGTACATTGTCAATATTTGAATATTGTATTGAGCTAATTGTATTTTTGATTAAGGGATTTGTAAATGACCTATTAGGGTTGAATTTTATTATTCAAATATGTATAAACCATTTTTGTAGGCTGAAATATATGTATTATGGTTTTGTATTGAGATACTCATGCATTTAAACCCTTGAGTTTTTACACAATGGAATTTTTTTAAAAGATTGCATTTCTAGCCCATTGGTCTTATACCACCAACAATCAGGCCTCTCGTCAAACTGCTGATTTAAAAGCTCTAGAAATGAAGTCCAACATCGTGTATTTTCATTCTTAACCACAACATATACTGTAGGAGATATATTTTCATTCACATCTACTCCAACTGCAGCCAATAGTATATCTTTGTATCTTCCCTTAAAAAATATCTCATCTAGTCCCATTAGTGCCCTGCAACCATACATAAAACCATACAAATATGGATGATTGCCTATAAATACACGCTCAAACCTATCATGATTATGTGTTTGAATAATCGTCACAGTTTCAGGGTTAGCGATTCAGATCTTCTGAAGGTACTTGGAGAGATCCTCGTATGCCTTCACATGGGAACCCTCATTTATCTCTTGTGCAACTTTTTTACCCTGCATGCTTGCTGATAAGATAACATGACATCATGATCACGTTGTCTATCATTAACTACATCTCCAGGTGTCAAATTGGGCATATCATTCAAACAGTCTTTGATCTTGCTTGCCACCTAGGGCTTGGGGCAAGCGGCTGATGAACCTTATCTATTCCGCCGGCCCGTGAGTACATGTTTACAAACTTCTTCACCCCGAAGAAGTTTGTTGTATTAACCCTCCAATAGTGCACTTGCCATGAACACCCATCTACAGCATACCTCACCCATACGCGTCTCTCTTTGCTTTTTATAAACTTCATATTGAAGTTTTGTGATATGGCATAATCAATACGGTGACTACGTCATGCATGTACGTCATCAAAATCCTGACCCCGTCGAAGTACAACTTCGCAACGATTAATCATGAGGGGGCTTTCTATCAGATCGATATCGTCGATATGTCGCTCGATTTCTGAATCATGCTTATCTTCTATGCCTATACAAGCAGCACCTTCATTGTGAACTAATTGATTTGATAGGGAGCTACTGTCGAAAAAAATTTAGAAGAACGAGTGAGAATTATCCTAACACAACAAAATATTGATAAATAAAAAAAATAATGAATTCCATTGCAAACTTCTTACATGGCCAATCTTGATGGACCATTATCGGGCACTGTTGGTGGTCGATATTCAGTGGAGTCAGACTCAATAAGTCTGTTTAATAGGTGCTCTGGTCAGAAACTACTATTAAAATAAAATTTGAAAAACAATTGAGAATTATTCTAACCCATAACAAAATATTGATAAATAAAAAAAATAATGAATTTTATTGCAAACTTCTTATATGGCCAAACTTGATGGACCATTATCGGGCACTATTGGTGGTCAATATTCAGCGGATTCGGACTCAATAGCTCTGTTGATACATACATAACAATGGGAGAAAACCCTTCCATCATATTCGTAATGTTGTCATCATCATCAATACATATCATATTACTGTTACTTGATAACCCTGGGTCAATATATCTAATAGTCATAGTACTTGAGACATAACTTGATACTTTTGACAAGTGATCCTTTACTTGGTCAAATGATGGGATCCCCCTAAAAAATAAAACCTTCATGTCCCCATTGTCATAAAAATTACATCTATTATTAAATTTCCTCTTGAAAAAACTACCAAAGTGTAAAATGATTTTCACTCTGTTGTCACCCATTATTGTTGCTTACAAGCTCAATGGATGAGAGAGAGAGAAAGAGAAGGCTAAGGAAGATGAGCAATGGATGAGAGGAAGAGAGAAGAGGCTAAGAAAGATGAGGAAATAAGAGTTATAATAAAGAAATCGTGAAAATAGGGTTTTATGATACAAATCGACTTAAAAAATGGCAGGAGATAATTATGGTAGTTCGAGTACTATAATAAACAATGAACTGCTTGCAAAGGGATGTCGCATGAGGCACTTGCTTAGCTGGTCGTTAAAATGCTCTACATAATGTTATCTGCCGGGAAATTGGAATAGAATTTCATATATGCGCCCCTTGCACAGTGTTGAAGAAGAGCTATTTGAATTTTCGCTATTTCATAAAACAGTTTTTTTTTCTTTCTTCTTTTAGGTGAGCATTTTGAGAGCATGGTTCAAAAGGCCAGCTCCGTTGACCCATTTATCCTCCACGAGGAAAGAAAAGGTGTCTAGAAACATGTTAATTGGAAGCAACAAGCAATGGACTCAGCTCCGGAACCTATTCCTGGGCATGGCTGAGTAGGAAAGCACGACTCGGCCCTGGAACCTAGCCCTGGGCATGGCTGAGTAACTCGGTCTGAGTTGGGCAAGTCCTAGAGAGGCCAAAAATCTTTAAAGAAAAAATACAAAATTTTTTTAAAAAATATAAAAACAATGTTTAAAATAAAATTATATAGAACACATCCAAATGAGGTTAAAAAAGTAATCAAGAAATAGATTTTTTAAAAATCAATTTGTGACAGCAGGGAATGTAAAAATAAGTATTCCAAACACTTCCCAATCTTTGTCGAATGATAGAAAACATAATTAAAAAAAAAAACCCCTTACAAATAAATATCTTCAATTTAAAAAATTTAATAAATTTTTCAATTCTTTTTAAGAGCCCGAGCTTGACCACCAAACTCGGGATACTCGGGCCCCACCAGGGTGGGGAGTCCAGATCGGTTGCCCGAGTAGTCAAACGCTGATTGAAACAATGGATGGGTCATGGGTGCATTAATCCAAAGGCCGAAAAGAAAAAGAAAAAAAAAGCAGAAGACGATCAGTGGGGACAAGAACCCCGGGAAGGCATCTAATAGCAGGGAGGATTTCTCAAACGTGTCCACGCCATTCATGCCCCATCACTATTAAAATAATTTACATAGATCCAAACCCTCGGTACGAATTCTTCCCATCACTTCCATCTCCCTGTGTCTCTACAAAACCAGCCACAAATTTCTCTTTGCTGCAAAGGCCTGCTGTGTCTCTCTGGTGGCAAGGAGCTTAAAATCTCTCTCCCTTTCTCTCATGCATGCACATACCCAAGCTTTTTCACCCACCAGCTACAAATACAACACTAGAGTAAAAACATTTACACACGACAAGAATAAAAGTGGGGCAGTTGCTGGGTTCAATATGAACAAAAATTGAGCACAACCAAAATTTAGGAAGGGCCAAATAGGGGATCCTCCCCACTTTGATATATCTTAAACAGTTGCTTTGAGTAATGGGAAGCCAGTTTACTGCAATAATCTACAGCCCCATGATCGTAATTTTCCAACTCTTTTGCAGACTTCTTCAGTGGACCATAGGCATCACCCTCTGTGAGGAATTCGGCAATATGAGATCCCCTGCATAACGGTTAGAAATAGAGTTTCAGGCCATAACACTTCAGTTATCATGCAATGTTTTGGAATTAGAAAAACAAAGGAGAGAGGGGAGAGAGACCAAAGAGAATTCATACTAAACCAAAAGAAGAATAGATAGCAGAACATATGTTTTGAAACTTCAATACATCCAGACTTAAAAGAGCTTACATCGGAAGTTTTTAAGCGAACCATTAGACATTGCGGCTGTTACATTAGCACATATAAATATAACAGAAAATTTGAGTTCATGAAGCATTTATGAATAGACAAGCATCACATCTAGTGCGCAAAATCCACATTGCAGTGATACAAAAACATAAAATAAAAATTTAATTAAATAAAAGCGAGGAAAGCAGGGGTGAGAATGCCATCAGATCGCATATGTTAATAATCTTGAATCCGTATGGTCAGAGATATATATCCAAGTAACATTTATATGGAATCATGACAAGTATCATTTATTTGGTCAGAGATATAATGTTGTACGCCAACATCCATTGGTACCCAACTGCAATATGGGGATGCCATATAGTGGCAGGCAACATCATCTGATTTGCTATTTAATTTGCTGATTCCAAAATTTATTCAGACGAATACATTTCTTATTTTCTCCCCTTCAGAAGCATCTAATGGACCCTTTAATCCTCCTTTGCATGTTAATAAGTTTCTTCTTAGTCAAATAGAAAATGTTGTAACCATCAATTTCTCCCTCATCTTAGCCAAGGCAATCTTCATGTAGCCAGCGATCGTGTTTCCTTAACGAATTTTTGAGATCGAATGAATGATAGATCTGTAGCATGTCCAAAGTACTAACTACCCATGGGACTATGAGAAGCTAGACCAGTGTCGCTTTCGATTGCAAACCACTAGTTAAACAAGCGATTCCAGTCTAATCTTACAGAACAGTAATATTCAAACTGGAGTAAAAAACTGTAGAGATTAGTGGACTAAGCTGCTCAAAACTGATCTGAGATTTGCTAAAAACATAAGCAAGTTGATTTGTTTCCATAATTGATACAAGTTTGGGAAACATCAAATCCGGTACAAGATGGTCAAGGCATCCCAAAATGTGAACATTATCAGAATGTACTCTTCCAGTAATCTGTCCCATGTTGTTGAGAGACTAGTTGTTGGTCCAACTAGTAGTATTGAAACAGACTTGACTCAACATAAACTTGCTTTAAGTAGTCACATATTGCCTTTGCAATCGTTATACCTGATTAGATCCTAGAATTCTTATTTGTATCCATGTACCAAGGACCCAGGATTCAAACATGATGGGGTTGCATTCCCAAGTAAACTCTAACCTCCAACATTCTCTAGAGGTATGATTGCTCCAAATCCATACACCCACGTAATATTCGACTGGCAATGGCATGTTTCATACACAACCAAATACTGTTGCAACCATAAGTCTGAAATTTAAATTAGGATCTCCCAAAGAGAATTTTTCACAGAGAGAAGAGGTAATACAATCTAATCCAATTGAAAAGGCTCTTTACCAAGGAGTAGCGTTATTCTATATATTTTTTTGTCTTTTCGCAAAAGACTGCAACTTTGAGGTCAGAATTCAACCTGGAATTACCAAAGTATACTATATGACTAGGATAACTAGTTTTGAGAAGCGAACCTATCTCACATAAGCGACCACAAAGACTCGAACTACACATTTGCCTTGTATCAGCCAAGGCACACTAAGTTTAAAGTTTCTCATGAGTTAACACTCACATATGTCAAATAATGGAAACAAAGAAAAAAGGGGTCCTGACCTAAAAACCTTCGAATACTTTTTTCTCTATCGTTTTTTCAATCTTTCTAAACCTTTAAGGGTACTCAAGACAACTGATAAACCTTGTGGTGTCAATGTTGAACACATATGATTCCTCAAACATGGAAGAAGTTGCCACTTTTCAACCCTTTCTTACTGATTAATAAATAAGAAGTAAATGAAAAGGAATACGCAGCTAGAGTTGTTCCATGTTGAACTCAAGCGCGACATATTTTCAACACTGACAAACAAAGTCAGTGATTACAACAATAGTGGCTGAGGCCTGTGGGCATTCGTTGACTTTGTAAAACACCTTGAACATTGGATACAAACCTTGAAAGAACCCGATGCACAAAAGTAAAGAACCTCCAAACTCCTTAATGGATGTTATTTTCAAGATAAACCTTAGCTATCTGTACTGGCCCAACTAAGGCTCTAATACTACTCTATGTGAGGGTAATAGTGCAGTGCACTGAGGCTTCCTAATAACAGCAATGAATAAAGTCACACATCTCTTACAATCTTCTAACCAAACTGGATGATCAGATAACAAGCTCTCACCTGGTTTGTAACGACAAAACTGTGTGAAGGTTTTAATCCCATTTCTACAAAACTGATTGCTCCTCTCCATGGGTTGATCTGACTTTGGAATACTTACGCAGTCTAATAATTGATGATCACTAAAAGCATAAGAATTACTATAAGCATAAGTGAACGTTGTTTTAAATGAGATAGTGAGCAATAACTAATTGAATTAAATGTATCGATACTTTTCAGTGGTAACAACTGAGTGACATACAGCACCTATTCATCCTTGGCAATTAGCACACACTGACAACAACTATTGTGTTCAGTGCAGAAACATCAGCTTCATTGACAAATGCGGTAGAGTATCACTTATTCTAGTGCTATATTGAGTAACTTGTGCTAAATCATGCACTGGTTATTATATATGTTGCTACATGCACACATTAACCAAATTTTGCTGGGTCTATGAACATGCACTTTTATGTAAGGAAAAAGTTTATATAAGGTTACAACCTTAAAATGTGGAACTAAATATACACCTCAAAAATCGATCGAAAAGGTTGTTTTAATGTTGAAAAACCCTCTAATTGATCATCTGGCCATTGAGATGTATGAATATGAAAAAAAAAAGATTTTGAGTCTCAAAAATAGTGCATCTTGCAACATATTATCTAGATCGTCCATTTTCAAGATTTTCATATATTTATAAATCTACTTGATTTTAACCATTTTTGGAGTTTAAACTTTTATAATTAGATATGAAAATAGATTTTGAGATAATCCTAAAAAACTTTATTCCAAAATCACATGTAATGATAAAATTTGGACATGCGCCTTAATTGGATTGTTTAAGGTTACAACCTTATAGAAACGACGCCCTTTATGTAATGCCAAGGCTGTGTCAGCCATGCAATAGTGGCCATCTCATCAATTATTGAATATTTCCTTGGAAACGTTCTCTAATTTTACTCTTTTTCATGGTAAGGATCTCTTAGGAGTCATCCTCAAAAGTGTTGCTGCGCACTTTTTTTATTGTCTTTTTTTCTTATAATTTTAAAATATTTGATTGGACCCGTTAATTGAATGTCTCATTAACTGTTTCATTACAAAAGTTGCTGTCCACTTTCCCCCCTACTTCGTATGCATTCCTACATGATGCATAAGGAAATTAACCTAGAAATTGAGGCAGCAATTGCACTTAAATAATGATAATTTTCTTTTGATAAGCACTTAAAACATGACAAACATCAATACACTTGGACAATTAGTGATGCAAGATAAAATTATTCTTATTTTTATTTTTTATTCAATTTCAGAGGATGCAAATTTTGATTTTAGTTTTAGGGTTTATTTTTAGGATTTTTATTTTTCTTCGGGATTCTAGGGTTCTTTTCCATTTTTATTTACTATTCACTAGTTACTATTCACAGATACTACTCATAAGTACTATTAATGGGTACTAGTCATGGGTTTCTATTCACAGGGATAAATTTGTCATTACAAATTTTGTGTTTAAGTTTGTTTGTTTTGGGTCATTTAATTATGGAAAAAATTATATAGAGCCGAGGCTCTAAACAATCAAATTAGAGCCCACCAAAAAATTTCACTAGAAGAGGTGGTTTTGATGCCCAAATATCCTCAAATTGATCATCTCGACATCACGATGCATGGACATGAGAAAAAGAAATAGATTTCAAGTTTTGGAAATAGTGCATTTTGTGACAACCTTTTGGACCATCAATTTTCAAGATTTTCAAGTTTTCATAGATCTACTCGATCTACACTATTTTTAAAGCTTTAAATTTTATATTAAAGATGAAAATATATTTTAAGACTATCACAAAGATTTCCAGTATTGAAACCACAATTCTCGACACTATTTGAAGGTGTGCTTTACTTTGATTGTTTAGAGCCTCGGCTCTTTTCAAACCACACCTTTTAATTATTGTATAGACATTAATGTCTCTGAACATTAAGATTATAGTATATAACAGCTATGTGGGGTGCTGAGGGGCTCATTCTATGTGATTTTTAGAATTGAAAAAGAAAAAAAAAACATACGCTTTTGGAACCCTAGCTTGGGGTGAAGAAAGCTATTGCTTGTATTTGGATTGTTTTCTTGCTAATTTTATTGTTTTCTCATATTTCCCTACATCAAGTGGTATCAAAGCTCAAGCTTTCTTCAACTACAAAGCTGAGACACTAGAGCCAAGCCTAGGGTTTGTTGATTTTGGGCCAAATTTTGTCAAATCAACGCAGATCTTTATATTTTCAGCGTGTTTTTGTTGATTATCTGTCTAGGGTTTATGAATTCGACGAACCCAGAGCAGCAAGAAGGGACTGTGGAAGAGGACTTTTTGCAGATTCACTTTGTGATCTCAAAGATGATGAAATTGAAGAACTTAAAAAGCAAGTTTAGCAGCCGATGCAGCAATTTGAGTACCATCCTTTTCACCTACTTGCTTTGTGCGAAGAGTCGAGTGAATAGGAAAGTGATAAAAGACCTAAACATAGAGAACATCACTCTAGGGTTTCTGATTTGAAGGACTTTTTTTATTTTGCAAGTTGTATATTGGGATTTGCAACCAATCTTTGATACATACGTAAATAAAGAGCAACTTCTTGTAGGCGATCCAATCTACAATGATAATCAAGTTTTCATGCTTAAAATGATCTTTGATGAAAAGATAAAGATATCAAGGATATCGAAGAGGTGGAGCATTCAAGAGATTTATAGCATTGGAATCAGCATAGTGCCATGTGGTTGGGTCATAAACCACAAATTATGGCCCTGATTTTAGAATGTAATGAAATAGATGTCAAGAAAACCTCTAAAGGTCAGAAACTCAGATTTGAAAAAGCAATAAATGCTTAAGAATTTTGAACCCTAGCTTGGGTGAGAAGAAAACCGTAGGTTTCTCCTAGTATTGCTTGTGTTTGGCAAGTTTTCATGCTAATTTTACTGTTTTCTCAAATTTCCCTACATCAATTAGCCATCTTATCAACATAAATTTATAAACTTACCTATAACAGTAAGTTCTTTCCCCCAAAATTTATCTTGATATAGTTCAGTAGAGGGTGACCATATCTGAAGAAATTGTCTTTTCGAGTTATTCATTGGATTAATTACTCTCCACAATGGAAATGACTCAAACTCTTTTTACAGATAGTTTTAGTCAAGTTATTCTCTGGCGTGCATCTGGTTTGAATAGAAAAAACTAAAGCTGAGAAATAAACTGACTAAGTTTCAGATCCAATATTGATAACCATCATGCCAGAGCCATTATATAACCAACATTTCCATTCAAGCATTCTCAAGTATTTGCAACAACAAAAAAAGAACAACGTAAAAAAAAAAAACAAAAAAAGAAAAAGAAAAACATTTACCATAACATTCATTCAAAAGTTAATTTTCAAATGACACCTTGTTGTCCTTGGTTGGGAGATCAAGCCATTACTTAAACTGAACCTATTAATATGCTAGGGCTAGTCTAGACAAGAAAACATAAAGGAACAAATACGATTCTGTAAAACATAACATTGCCCTTTTTCTGTCATAGTGAAAGACTCATAATTAAGATGATGTGTGGAAATCAAATCTTGATTCAAGTGGTGCACAGAGCAGGCAGCATGCATTATCCAGTCCTATGTGAATCTATTATCAGGCATATGGCATGTGTACCTTTCAAGAAACATCTAGACATGGAAAGATAAAAAACGCAATTTTGAGAAAACCTTAACGACAAAACAAAACCAATTTAACAAAAACATCCAAGAGGAATAGCAGAGCCCAGATTAGCTATATTTACTTATATGCGTCGAACTTATTGAATCCACGACTGTTGGCATGAAGTGAAAATTTGGTGGATTGCTCATCGCTTGTTTGCTGCCTATAGAGTGCACATACAGCCTTCATGCAGAGCTCAGGATTCTTTGCAAAAGCAGCAAGCATGTCAGCCTCAAAGTCCCACTTTAATGAATGTTTACTACTCATACTTGCTAAAATCTCATTAAATTCTTTATGGTAACTAGAACCACTGCCTTCTCCATTGTCTGCTGAACTATTTGAAGTATCTGATCCATTAACAATAAAACCACCCAAACTCTCACCTTCACTTCCACGATCAGGACCTTCCTCTGCTGCACCCATATTAATAACATTTTCTTCTAATTTTCTCACTTTAAAGCGAGAAACAAGGGCATCCGCATCATCTTCACTATTGCTTTCTCTTATCACCCTGGTTTGACGCCCCCTCTTGGGTGTAAAACTTTGCCCAATTCTCTTTTCATTACGTACAGTACTACCCATTCTCTTTTCATTATCTGACCCATTAATGGCAAGACCACCCAAACTCTTGCATCCACTTCCATAATCAGAACCTTCCTCTTCTCCTCCCATATTAATAACATTTTCTTCAGAGTTTCTCACTTCAAAGTAAGAGACAAGGGCATCCGCATCATCTTCACTGTCGCTTTCTCTTACTACCCTGGTTCGACGCCCTCTCTTGGGTGTAAAACTTTGCCCAATTCTCTTTTCATTATGTACAAACACGAAATCTTCTTCGGTTGAAGAGTTCCCACATACTGAGTTAGGAGTCTCCCTTCCACTCTTATGAGGTTCTCTAGGATAAGTCTCCTCGATACAAGCTGCTTCAGCTCCCCCACTGGTCTCACTATCACTGTCACTGATTTGTATGGGGCCTTCCTTCACAGGTTTGGTGCTCTTCACATTACCCAAATTGCTGCAATTGGAAGGAGTGATTAACCCATTTCTTCCTGAGCCTGCACATTCAGGAGAAGAAACTTGTTCCCCAACATCCTTAAACCCATCATTCGAGACACCCGTTATAGATGGCTCACCTGCATTAAACCGGCCCACACTTACTCGAGCCATACATGGTAGACGTGAATAGCAAGGAAGGTTATCGAAAAGATTTATGTCTGCACTTCTAACTTGCTTAGTTTTGGTGCGCTTCCTGGCTTTATCTGCACGCTCGTGAGTGGGGTTTTGAGCACTGTCACGGGTTTTACTGCTACCCAGTTCCATATTTTTCTGGGTTTCAGGAGGAGAAAAATCCTTCCAGATCTCCATTAAACCAGAAATCCTATCCTTCAGCAATTGCTCTCTATCACTAATGGCCCTGTAATCCTCTTCCTTGACAGACAGACGCTCTTCTAACTCACTGCACCTTCTTTTGCAGTTCTCCAGTTCATTTTCAGTTATCAACTTTCCAAAATTTAGCTGACTATATCTTGCCTCCAGCTCGATGCACTTCGCCCTGCAACCCCTTTCCGTCTCCCTGAGCTCCTCCACCAACCTCTCAACCTTCTCCTTTGCCTCATGCTCTTCCCCCAAGTCCGCTTCCATTAACTTATTCTTCCTTATCAGATTTTCACATGTTTTCTTGAGCTCTTCTTTATCATTTCTCATCTCTTCATTCTCCTTCATGACATCTTTCAATTGCTCGTCCTTCTTTCTCAATTCATCGTTTTCCTTTTTTAGATCCTCATACTTCTTCCTGAGCTCCAATCCTTGATTCATGATCTCTTCATTCTTAATCATGACCCTCTTCAATTGTTCCTTTTTCTTATGCAGCTCTTCAGAGCCCAGGCGTGAAATCCTCTCGACTTTGGCTTCAAGAGTCAACTTCTGCTTCTTGACATCTTTCAATTGCTCCTTTTTCTTTCTCAATTCATCGTTTTCCTTGTTTAGATCCTCGTACTTCTGCTTGAGCTCCAATCCTTGATTCATGATTTCTTCATTCTTAATCATGACCCCCTTCAATTGTTCCTCTTTCTTATGCAGCTCTTCAGAGCCCAGGCGCGAAATCCTCTCGACTCTGGCTTCAAGAGCGAACTTCTCCTTCTTGTAACTTTCTTCTTTGAGCTTTAGCTGCTTTTCAATCTCCTCAAAATCAGAGGCTCTGAAAGCCCTTTTTATCAGACATAGGAAAGCTGCAATACTGTAACGTACCTCATCACTCAATGCATTTTCAGAAATCCCACCACCATTAATATCCATCTCTGAATCCATTTTACACTTCTGTCAAACAGATAACTAAAACCCTATTTCTCCACTGCATAATACTTCCAAGTTAGGAATTTTCAAAGAAACTCAATAATGAACTCTTTTCCTAAAAAAAGGGAAACAACTCACACCAAGCACATATCCCCAATTTCATGGTAAGGCAAAAACAAGAGTAGCACTTACACAGACAGAACACACCCAACAAAAAGAAAATGATTGAAATCCCCCTAAATTGCCGCAATTCAACACAAAGAAACACTAATTCTCCCAGCCTGGAATTTCACAAACAAGAACACATCCACAAAAGCCAACAAAGATGAAATCAATAGAAAAAAGAAAGCTTTACAAAAAGTTCGCATGTCAAACAAACCCTAAAAAATGCAGGAGAAAAACAGAAACACAAAACACAGGAAGAGTATGAAGACATAAGGGACGAAGTGTCTGAATCTCGCTCGTCAGTTACAGTTCGTAAATGGCAAATCGAGTACCATTAATTTAATTAAATGCCAAATCAGCAGCTTTCGTCGTTCGAAAATGATAAAAAAACATTGTTTCTTTCTAGGTGCACGTATGGTACAACGCCCGTGGTGAATACAAGGAGGATCACGAAATATCATATGCATGATACGAACCGGTCCCTCCCTCGACCGTACGATGTCGAAACATTCCGTTTAGATCTTTGATGGACAATGGGCAACTCAAGAGTAAAGACATGGGACCGTTTAGGGATCCGTTATTGCGGGAATTTATTCTTTTTTTATTTTGGATGAAAATACTCTTTATGGATAAACCCTCACCACAAATTTTTTTGAAAAAATAGTTAAAAATCTCTCAAAAATATACTTTTTAAACACTCTATCCTATCTTAAACTTTCTTCACTTATTTTACTCAAAAACCATCTTTTATAATTAATACCTCCTATACATATTTTACTAAAAAACCATCTTTTGTAATTAATACCTCCAACTCAAAAAGTTACGTCTTTCGTGACGAAAATACCCTTCATTATTCATTAGAACAACTCCAACAAAATATTCCAAAATAATAATAATAATGACACAACCCCCAAAAATTTCACATCCAACAGTCAATAAAGATTGTGATCTCCTTATTATCAAAAATAAATAGTCGTGTTGTATATATTTACCTTAAAAATAATTTTATATATTTTATATTTTAAAATCAAATCTAATTTTCTATAATATAAAATATATTTTAATTTTATCTCTTTTTCTATAAATCGGATTAAGATCAAATTTAGTCTTTACATACTTATCATTATCATACATCTATAAAAATATTTAATAACATTTTAAAAATAAATAAATTACCAAACTACCCATAATAGTATAAAGATAGTTTGATGATTTTATTCATTTTAAAATATTTTTTGAATTATTTTTTATAGGTATATAATTGGAAAAATACAAACATATCAAATTTGAAATTAATTTGATATATAAAAAAATGAAAAAATTAAAATACACTTTATGTTCTAAAAAAAAGATTTG